TTGCACATTAAAACACAAGAACCTGCACGAAGTGGCAGCAATCTGCAACAAAAAAAGAAAAAAAAATCACATCTTCATGTGCCTGTGCTCTGTGAGATCTAATGCAGTGTGTGCTCAAACAGAGTGAAACCAGCTGAGTTCCTATAGACCAGAACTTTTGTTAAGGCACACGTTGCAAAAGATTTTCCACATGGACAAGATGATAGGTTGAGGAGAGTAGTGTACTCAGAATTTGTGCAAATCATACTTTTTTTTTTTTTTTTTTCTATTTGACCATTTAACCAGCACGTTTAAGAAGACTGAAAGTTTTTGCTAAGAGACCAGCTCATTAACAATCACAGACCCATTTTTTGTGTTGGTAATTCTAACCTTTAAAATGAGTTTGAGTACTATTTTAAAAACTTTTGTTTTAATCCCGTGTGACACTCAGAAAACAACAAAAACAATATTAAGTTCAGGATGTTTCTTTGGACATAACAAGGAATATGCAATTAATCAAATGGAAAATAGCTTTTAAATAAAATATTCTAATTTATATCCTGTTAAGAGAACATACTGCACTGTGTGTGTGATACATGTAACCCATTTTATAACACAACTCATGCAAACAGTGATTCCATAAATTATATAAGAAGTTTATATTTGGTTTTAAGTGCACACTCTGCTTCTGCACAGAGATTTTTTTTAAAACCCTGGTTTCTAACAAACTGCCATGCAATTAATTATCAAAAACACCAACCAGGATAAAGTTCAAGCACATTTAAAACACCTTGCAGTTATATCTCTGATTCTGCTGTGAAAGGTCTTGCCTCTAAAGGCAAAGAGTCCAGGTTGCATTCTGAAACCAAATCTGTGCTTGTATCCTCTAGACCACTAACCTCAGCGTCCCTCATCAAACTGCTGTTGTCCTCCTCAAACTCCTCCTCCATCTCAACTTTCTCCAGAGCCACTTCGTTCTCGTAGCAAAACGAGTTCCTCAGTCTGGAAGAATTTGATTTCCTCTCAGCCAGCTCCCTAGCACTACAAGTGGGAGTGCTGGGCACCTCATAGGTGTTGTCAAATCTTGAGTAGTCTACTTTGTAGTAGTTCTTTTCTTCAAAGAGCACTGGCTCAAAGCGGTGGCCCCAGAGGATCTCGCCGGCCACGTAGGAACTCCGACACTGAGTTGTCATGGCCGTGGCCTCCACCATACCCTCGAGAATCACAACAATCTCAAACTCTGAGGTCTCCAGCTCCTGTTTGTTCATCTCGTAGAATGGGCTGTCCTCATCAATCTCATGCACGATGGTGATCGGAGATACAAGGAAGATTCTGTCGATCCCACTGTCAAAGCCGACGTCAATGTCTACCTGATCCAGAGGAATGAACTCTCCCTCCACTGTGGTGCGGGACTTGAGGAGCTGCGCCCTGACGTGAGCCTCCACCAAATGACTCTTCCTCAGGTTTCCAACCCTCCACATCAGGCATAGTTTACCGTCCCTCATTGCTACCGCTGCATAGTGGCTGAACACAAGAGTCTCATTCCTCTTCTTGGGCTTTGCCATCTTGGCCATGACGGCGCCAATGATAAAAGCATCAATAATGCAGCCCACAATGCTTTGAAACACCACCATGAAAACAGCAATGGGACATTCCTCCGTGACATAGCGGTAACCGTACCCAATTGTGGTTTGGGTCTCGACTGAAAACAAAAAGGCAGCAGTGAAGCTGTCCACATTGGAAACACATAATTGAGTCTCATTCTCCAAGTCCCCATAAACCAGTGCCACGACCCAGAAGACAAGTCCAAAAAACAACCATGACAAGAGGAAAGACAGACAGAATATGACAAACATCCAACGCCAGCGGATGTCCACGCAGGTGGTGAAGATATCTGCCAGGTAGCGCTGGCCTTTTTCGCTCATATTGATAAACTGCACATTGCAGTGGCCATCTTTGCTCACAAAGCGGCTCTGACGCTGCTGCTCCATGTGTCCTTTGTCTACGTTGCCATTCCCATAGCCATTTGGAACGGCGATGGATGCTAACTTCATGCCATCTTCCTCTGAGGACACAATGCTGTAACGGTGGCTACGCAGGCTCCCCATCACTTCCAACTGTGGGGGCTGGCCCGGTTCTGCTTTGGAAAACAGTCTCAGTTTTTGGTAGAAGCGTTGGAGAAACAGTTTTGAGTTCTCTGGGGGACACTCTAGGGCAGGAAATGTGGCCACCAGGACTCGGGCCTGTGGAGAAGATGTTCTTCTCTAACAGTGCTGTGCACCGTCAGTGAGGTTAGGTCACTCCTCTCTGACACTTGCTTTGAGTCTCATCAGTGACAGGGGCTATGAAATATAAAGACACAAACAAAATCATATTATAACATGCTGTCTGAAAACTGGATCACATGCTTCAAGTTAACAGTATTGTTACAATAGATGTAAAGAAGTTAAAAAGTATAAGCAATATTGACTTAAATTTATCATTATCGTGCTGCTTTTTGCAAAAAACGTTTGCTCAGTGTACTTAAGTGCTATAAAGAAGTTACAGATTGTACACCGCAGTGCATACCACAGTGAAATTAAATGCTTATATATATATATATATATATATATATATATATATATATATATATATATATATATATATATATATATAATATTATTTTAATATAAATATATAAATATAATATAAAACTATTTTAATTGCACAATTTAAAAAGCATTATTACCTAACCAGTAAAGTTCACTATGTGAAACATAGCATCAAGGACAGCAAAAACAGAAAAGGTATTGACACAGTGGATGAGAGACCCATTAAAATACAACACCACAGGCTACAAATTGCAATGCACATGCAACCTGCCCTGTTAGTTCCAAAGCTACTCTAGCTCCACTTTTCACTTTTGGGTGTTTATTTGCTATTCTTTAAAACTCAAAAATAGGCAGATATATGTCTTTCTCTTTTTTTCAATGTTCTGTGCATACATTACAAAGAATCAGTTTTTCTATTATCTGTATATATTTTTCTCAGTTAATGATTTCACATCAGGATTGACCGGAAATACGTGGAAATATAAGACTTAGGTTTTTTTTTTGTTTGTTTGTTTGTTTTTTTAAGGGCCATGTTTCCTATAAACATTAAATGAAAGTAAAACGCAAAAGTCATTATTGTGTCAACCTACACAACGACAAATTGATATGGGAATCCACACCATAATTCTATTCATGTTTACAGACATAACATTTCCGGTTTATCCGTGTTCGAAAAACACATCACTGACTTTGAAGACTTGGTCCCCTCAAACATCAGCTCTTTGCCACAAGAACTGTTTGCTTCTTGCCCGCTCTCCATCGTGTCACTTAATGCCGTCAATTGCTACATGGTGACAAATGAAGTCCCGCGGAGTCATCACAGTCTGTGATTGTTTGTTTTGCATTTGCTATCGGATGGAGCCAACTGCTGAGGCAGATGGAAAGTGGTTATATAAAGCTGCTCTGTTTTGTTTCGTAGATCAATAACTAAGTCAATTGTTTAACTAAAGATATTGTTAAATTAAAGATTTTCAGCTTTTTTTTTCCTACGTGAAATGATGCGTGCAATTTCCGATGTAAAAAAATATTTTTGACGTCTTAATTTTATATTTGGCCATTTTTAATGAACATGGTCATAAAAGTGGCTACAAGCAATTGCAAGAGATTTCACTGCACTCAGGCCCTTGATCTTTGAAAAGTACAGAAATGAATTATTTGCACAATCACACAATTATGTATGTTTTCAGTCATTGTCATTCAAACGGAACTTTTCTATTGGTGAAATAAGTCACCAAATCTCATTAATATTTGCAATAAATAAATGAAAGAGAACATTTCCAAAATCAGACATATCACCTACCTGTTGGATGTTGGAGCGCAAACTGGATCTTCTCTCGCTGTTATAACCCCGAGCTGCGACAGGTTTGCTCTCCTCCGCCGTCTTAATATTTTGTCCGGTTTGTTGTTGTCTCCTGGTTTCCCGTGAGCAGCTTTGAACCCAGCCATAACCCTCTCCAGCGACACTGAAGCAGATAGTTGTGGTTCCGAAGACAAGACTTTGTAAAACACGTGTCTCCAAAAACCCCGCCCCCTTAAGCAGACCCAGCCAATGGGAAGCAGGAGCGCCTTTTCCAGGGGCCAGCAGTTTCATTTAGTTTTGTTTGATGTTGAGGGGAAAAGTGGTTGATTCTAATATACAAAGAAAGGAGTTCTAAATCAGTATCTTACATCTGTCCTCTAAAACACACCAACATAAACAGAGTGAAAAGATAGTAATTCACTTGCCAAAGTAATCATATGCGATATATGAACACATGGAGGCGCTGTTCACCCGTAAAAAAAAAAAAGTTGTTCTGTCAAGTGTCTAATAAAGAACCGCCTGTCAGCAATTTACCCTGAATAGTTGGCCAGACTAATGAAAACTGAGGCTTTGTGCTCTTAAATTCATCATTACGTGGTTCCTGAGCAAGAGCAGGTTTCATACAGTACATAAAGATTTACATCATTGTTTTTCATTCTTATTATTAATATTATTGTCAATTTAGGATGATTATGCTAGTTGGTTAGGGGTATTTAACTGAATTAAATATGCCACATACTTAACTACTGTAAGCTAAAATAAGAATATGTTATAATACAGTGTCATTTTGGGGTTTTTTTATTTGTTGATTTTTTTTAATGAAATCATAGAAACACATTCACTAGAAATGTCACAAGATTTACACTCCCTAACATCTTATGACCTGGCTTATTTCAGTGTTTCTTGGAAGTGTAAAAAACAGTGGTTTATATCAGAACATATGCATGTGATAGAAGTCACTGTTAATTATGACAGATTAAAATTATACATTTTTGTACTGTAGGATACCAATTCCTTAACTTCCCCACTCATATATTTCTGTTTTTTTAGGACAGTCACATACAAAACATAATTATTCCAAGTGAAAAAGAGAAGCTTTATTAAATTTCCATTCATCAGCCGAACACACAACTTATTGCCGACAAGCCATAAACCACTAATCTTTGGACGTAAATGTATATATGAAGACATTCAAATGGTTTCACATTTTATATTTATCACTCACAGTAAAATAGTTTGTCATATGTACATGTTTGTTTGATTACAAAGATGTTTGCACCACTATCTCCTCTGGGCTGATGGTGGTGGCCCAGTAGAGGCGGCGGTTCCCGGTGACTGATGGTAAGAGTGAATTGCGCTCATTAGGATGTCCACTCTCTCTTTCATAAGCCTCTGCACTGAGTATGGGCACTGGCACCCAGCTGGTTTCATTGAACAAAGCACAGTCCACCTTATAGTGTTTCTTCGCCACTTTCAGTATGTCGCGGAAACACTGACCCCAGTGGATGTCTGGAGGAGTGTAGGACGTGCGTGTCTGATGGAGCAGCCCTGTGGAGTCCCCGGTGTAGGTGAAGGAGACGAGCAGTTCAAATTTCTTCCTCTTCAAGTCATCTGGACCTATTTTGTAAAGGGGACTTCCTGGTTTTAGTTTGTGAACAATTGTTGTGGGGGTGACGAGAACAACATGTGGATTCTCGAGGTCCAAATCCTGGTACAGCATCACAACAGAACCTCGTTTCTTCACATGCCGGACAAGATGGGCCTTTACGACTCCCTCCAGAATGTGGTTACCCCTGAAGTCTCCGAGACGCCATGACAGACACAGAACCCTATTCCGCAGGTTGACCACTGCAGAGCTGCTGAAACGCACTGCCTGAGACCTCCTTCGGGCAGATGCCATTTTAGCCACAATAATTCCAATGATAATGGTGTCGAGAAAGCAGCTAAATAGATTATGGATGGTAACCAGAATAATAGCCCCAATGCAATTCTCAGTCATTCCCCTGTTGCCATAACCAATAGTTGCCTGGGTTTCCATTGAGAACAGGAATGCTCCAGTAAATCCACGTACGTTGTCCATGCAAGGATTGTTGTCTGAACTCTGAGTGTCGCCATGAATATAGGCAATGAGCCAATAGCAGAAACCAAAGAAGATCCAGGAGAGAATATAAGAAAGGGTAAAGAGAAGGAACATCATCCTCCAGCGAATCTCTATGAGGGTGGTGAAAATGTCCAGTAAATATGGGCTCCAGTCTCCAGAGGGCTTCTGGAATGCCACCAGGAACCGGCCATCTTTCTGCATGTAGCGGAGCCGCCTTCTTTCCTTTCCATTTTTCTTGCTCAGCGTATGAACTGAGGTGTGATTGGTGTCAATTACATGCTGTTCGCTTTCAGTGCTCATGTTGAAAGTGAGTGCCTTTCAGTCAGTCTCCTATGAAAATAAAAAGATAAGATGGAGGTAAAGATTAGGATTGTATTATTTTACATTGTGGCGTTATTACATTGTCATCATACAATTTCCCTTTGTAAAGCATGGCTGTTTTTTTCCATTATTTATATGATCAAATAGATTGAAACATTCTACACAATAAAAATATTTATTTCATTTGCAGTTTTACATAAATATGTCATTATACACTGGTCTACTATTAAGTTAGAGCCACAGGATGTTGTCTTTAGGTCCTTTAAACTGAACAGAACAATGCTTTATGCTGCTTTTTCCAGAGGTGTTTTATGGGTAGTTTTCCATGTCAACCTTTAGCTTCTTCCCTTTGTTTTGTCCTTGATAAAATCTCAAAATATTTCCTTTCCTTTTCACTGTGTTCCACATAGAAGCATGTTTTATTCCTTAACTTTTCCTTTAACAGTTTCAAATTATGGAGTTAATTGATGGCAATTGAATACACCTAGGTGACGAAAACAAATTATTAAACATACTAGACCACACTTTAGTGATCATTGTCAAGTGTGAACACTTCTAAAGTGATGAAACAACACAGTGCTAAAGACAGAAACAACAATTCTAAATAATAATAACAGCTGTCAAGCATGGTGGTGGAGGTTTAGTAATTTAGGTTTTCGGGCATCTTGCAAATATTGAGTTGGCTCTAAACTAATCTGTACATCAAAGCTTTCAATAGTCAGACCCAATCTTCTAAAAAGCTTAACTTGGAAAAACTCAAAGGCTAACAAAGAGTTTTGAACTTAAATAAACCCTAATTTTTAATCTGTTGAGCTTACCGCTTTTACATTTTATTTCAGTCTGTAGTCTTCCAAATGTAACCAAGAGCAAAAAGGGGAGATCTGACATTTTCTTAAAATTGTAAGAAAAAGCTCAAAGAAAGTATTTATTTGTTGTTTTTTTTGTTGTTGTTTTTTTTACCACAAGCTTAAGCAGTTACATGGAATTGACCTCAGCTTGGTATACTTATTAATCGGTTTGCGTTCCTTTAAAGGTAAATTATTGATTAGTTCTAATAGCGCCGAATGTCAGCTGAAATGTCAAACGTTAACTGCATGTCCCCCTCTCCAGAGACACACAGAACAAAAGCCAGCACATTTCTATCATTTTATTTTACTGACAGCTCACTGATGACATGTTCGCTATCTGGTTTATCTCAAAGCTTCTCACTGATCAAAAATAAAGAATGTTCTTCCTGTCAGTCAACCTGAGAGTTTATTGCCTTGCTCAGTCTGATGAGAACAAGTGGCTAATGTTTATCACAGTTTATGATGACTGGTCTATCGTGCATTATAATTTTAACACGTCATATGGCTTAATTGTCCCACCAAAGAAATAAGGATTGAAGATTTTGTCGATTATATTGTGCACAGTAGTGCTATGTGTTGTAAAAATGGCTACCTACTGTTGGTGGGTTGCCAAAGTATATACTTAAGGTTAAAAAAAAAAAAAAAAAAAAAAAAACTAAGATTGTCTATAAAAAATATGGAAATTCCTGCTGCAATTAGAAATATTGTAAAATATGCAGTCAATAAATTTTTTTTCTTTCTCAGAGTGGATAAATACATTCAGGTCAAAGAAAAAAAATAAGCAGGGACATATTGACCGTGGAGAAATTAAATCTTCTGAGTTTCTGATTATTTTCAAATACAGATTTAATGTATATCATTTAATACTTATTGTGTATTGTCTAAGTTACCACTTCAGAGTAAGATCATAACACCAAGTGACACTGAAATACAATAAGCTTAGGTTTTAATTATGACCCCACAAAAAAAAACAAACAAACAAAAAAAACACCTTAATTCAAAATAATGCATTTAATACAGGCAAAAAGTCATTTCATTAATGACTTCAATTTTGTTTTCTGCTTTAATACTTAAAACATATCTCATCAAAGCTGGATAATACATATTTGTTATAATTGTTGACTTAAATTGTAAAAAAAATATTGGATTACATATTTTCATACTTTTTTAAGTAGTTATTTTTCAATAAATTGGTCTGACCAGACAAAGAAAGACTTGAATAATCAACTTACCTGCCTTGAAGAAATCAGACTGGATCTGGTGTCAAGCTCCCCTGAGCATTAAAGAATGTGCGCTTCATGCGGTCATAACCTTCAAATGGTAGAAAAGCATGACTGACTTGGTCCTGAGGCAAAGTCCCATTTTTTTCTGATATTATTGCGATCATTTCCGCCTCAAAGTTCATTGGATACCTAGGACTTATGACCTATGGAATATTTTAGAGGTTCCTCAAGATAAAAAATACCTACAATTGTCCTTGTCCTCAGATGGTAAAGTCAGACTTTTTACAATCCGTCTAGTTTTCCAAAAGATAACAAAAACAAGCAATTGTATTGATATTTTCAGCATGATATTTAAGCAATTTCCTGAAAACTTCCACAATTCATTACTCAGGAAGTCAATCTTTCTTCAGTCTGGTAGAAATTCCTTCATGGGAACAAGTTCTGTCTTTGTCCCAATGGTTTACAATGCAGTTCCGATAAGACACGATTACAACAGAACCAATGCGAAGGGAATCAACTTTGAACTCCTCTTTGGAGCTGTTATAGAGTGCATCTAAGGTTGCTGTAAAAATAGGTCAGCGACACCAAAAAAAAACCTTGTTGTATGCTTAAGAATAGAATATGACACAGTTATCTATATTTGGAAGTTAAGCTATCTGATTAACTACTAGTTTTGTAAGATGATGAGTGAAAACAGATAAAAGACAATCCATTCAGAGATAACAGAGGAACACCTTATCTATTCTGTGATACCAGTCATTTAGAAACAATGGCTTCATTATGAATGGATCAAAAGAGACACAGAAAGAAAATACAAAGAAAAAAAAACTTTGTCCAATCTGATGACAGAGTAGTTAAAAAATGTCCCATGAAAATCCGGTTAACATTTTGTGAATTTTTAAGGACTTTAGCCTTTGAGAGAATCACAACCAGAGCTTTGACATTAATCAAAGTACTGCATTTCTGAGATATTTTTTTTAAATATAAGCCAAAACAGTGTCTGAACTTACTTCATTGAAAAAAAAGACATACATTGAAATAAAGAAATCAAACATTAAACATTTACCAAAATAATCAATTATTTTTCATAAGGCATGCTATCATGGCATGTATCAAATTTTAAAGGAACTTCAAAGGCTTTCCACTTTTAATAATAAAACTGATTTCAGATTACTGTACGGTGTGTTTGCAATCTCAGAGCAGCTTTGCTTTACAAAATAGAGAGAATGGAATATTCCTAATGAACTTTATTAAACTGAGCAGACAATAAACTGCATGTATTCAAACAACAAAATGGACAGTATTTGGCAATTATACAGAGACAACTGTGGCTCAATGGGGAAAGTGGTTGTTTTGCAATCTAAAATTGTGAATTTGATTCCAACATCCCCTTGCCACATGTTGATGTGCCCCCCAAGGCAAGGCACTAGAAAATCACTATGCATATTTAGTCATTATACAAAGAAGCAATGAGGAAAGCAAAGGTGTAGAAATGAAAATACTTACAAAACAATTATATTAAAACTATGGATGTCTACTGTTCCCATAACCTAGTAACTTCGTACAGAGGGTCAGGGCTCTCGGCTGCTGAGAAACAAATGCTTCCTGAAGGCTGTTGAGGTTTCAAATTTTACCAATTGCTCGATGCTAAGAAGCTTACCAGAAATTGCGTGCACTGTTATCAACCATCTGGCACTGCAAAGTGCCGATCCGAACAAGGTGGTTGTTAATATATAATCAGTATCTTGAAAGCCATGGCCAAGATGGACTGAACCTCCTCCATTGCTCCAGGCAGACTACAATTCTAAAATAGCCCAGAAAATTATCATCATTGTTCACAACTTCTCATTCTGTTTACTGATTGGCCCAGTCAAAAACCCAAAAGGGAGACAATCCAAGGGAGAAAGCCCAGACTACACTGGAAGTAATAACTTTTTCCAAGCTGCATAGGAATGCATAAGTTGCATAGGAAGGCAATGGCTCGGCTGCTGTTCCCATTGTAACCATTCATAAATCATTGGCTTCTGCATGCTTTTTGTGTGTGCATGCAATTATGGGGTTCTATTTATATGTGGAGCATATGTGTGTGTGTGTCTTTGTGTATATCCAGAGACTATCTGAAATTAACATATGGTGATATGGGGGGCACATCAAGTCTAAGAGCAGACCCTAGAAATGCAGGATGGACGCACGCCAAAAAACTTAACAGACCACAGACCAGTGGGAACTGGTTCTTGGCCAACCAGTAAACTGCAACATCCGTTCACCAACTTCCATTCACCAACGATAAAAAAGACAGTTCAGGTGCAAATATTGGCCAACAGAGGCCCAAGGGCACCCCACATGCCTGTTCACAACACCAAGCAATCCAAGGGGGGGATTTTATTCTCCCCCCATTTTTGCTTTTGTCATACCATTTATTCATGCATCACATATGGACACCACAAACCAGATTTTTTCATATCAGTAGAATAAATGTTAGGCAGCTTAATTTAAAATCAACATTACGCAAAATAAATTGCATATTGTTAAAGTTAATTAATTCAAATAGCCTAGGCAGTTCTTGGTAAAACTACAATTCATCATCCACCTGTCAAAGCAGTGTATATAAAAGCCACTCCTTAGCTTAATAACTACGGTCTTAAATATTTGTTCTGTTTTTTATAATAATTTTTTTGTGCAAGCTTGCCTCTCAATTACAGACTCATTCAGCTTTCCCCCGTCTTTTACAGAGATGTTCTTGTTGTGATAAGTAAGAAGCACGGCCTATGATAACGTCAAACACGAGCCCTATGAAGTCTCCTGCAGCTACGGACAATGGGCAATACCACACCTGCAGTTTTACTGTTTGCACAGTCTGACTGAATAACACGAAAGAGATTAGCTTATAATGATCTAATAAAAAGCTTTTGTGAGTCAGTCATGTCTGCACCAGCAGTGTTCTGCCCACTGTTGTTTAGAAATCTACTTAAAGACTCACATCAAGCTGAAAATTGAAAGGATGAAAGGTGCAGTCATTACTCCAACTCTTCAGATAAAAAGAATTTAGTCTTAAAACTAAAAGGATGGCAAGTGCAATCTTTCTGCTGAGTTTGCTGATTTTTGGTAAGTGCATTTTGGACATTTTAATTTCGGATTGAAAGATTAAAGGAAGTCTTTCTAAAATTGCTGGAACACGCATCTTATTTTAGGATGTTCCCAAGCTGAAATCAATTGCACAACTCGCAGATGTCTGGCTCAAATGTTAATTAGAAAACAATATTTATCTTCACCTCAATCTGAGAACTGCACCTTACTTGTTGACGTTCCATTAATTGAGTACGAAACGCTGTCAGTCGTAAGTATTTCTATTTTTTTTCACACATTCCACATTGGCAAGAACAAACTGTTCTCTACTTTGTTTAAAGATTCTTCCAAAACTCATATAAAGTAAAAATGTATCAGAACTTTTTTTTTATCTTAACAGGACATGAAGGAACTACATCTAATGAGTCGTCTGCAGCTTACAATTGTATGTGATAAAAATTAAAGATCAATCCAGAAAGATATAACAAAATCTTATTTTAGTGACTGAATTTTATTTTATTGTACAGGCCTGGGTGGATCCAGAGCTGGCGTGGAACACGTCAGTGTATCCATTTGAAAAACTCATTTTGCCAGTAAATAAAGTGTGGACCCCATATATATCTATAGAAAATGGGTGAGTGGCACAACATCTTATTTTTAAAAGAAACTCAGTCCATTGATCTGTTCAAGCTCACCTGAAACACTTGCTGTCTCTGTTGGGTATATGTGCAGACAAAGCACCATGGAGCATGATTCGCCTGATCTCGTGGTGTACAGTAATGGTACTGTAGGGCACACGGTGGTCATAATTGCAGTAGTGAATTGTGGAATCAATCTGTTCAACTATCCTTTTGCTTTTGATGTGTGCCCCGTTGGACTTAAATCCACCCCACCAGATGGTAAGAAATTCACTGATGCCATGATACCACATTCCTACCATTTTATTTTAACTACATATCCTTAAATTTTCACAGAAGGGCATGGGCTAATGCATGCACTAGACTGCTCTGAATTGTACCTATCGATTTACAGTACATTATAAACAATTTGAGCAATAACACCGATCTGTTTATGCATGGTTAACTGAATGTTTTGCATACCACAAACTGAAAGAAGCTCTATGGTACCATGTTGCCCAAATCCCATTTTAGCCAGCGACATTTCCACAGTGACTTTAACTGTTAGAATTGAAAATTATATTTAAACCACGTTTATGCATTTATTTTTTTAAAGTTAACAGCAAAAAAAGTATTTGAAAATTTCCTGAGTTATTTCTTTACCCAATAGGGTAGTAAAATAGCATTTTTGAAATTCAGGATGTTACTTAAAATCCAACTGCTGCAGCAATGTTGAGTTTATACTCCAGACTACAACCTGTGTACTGATGTTTGATGATGATGTCCACACTTCATTCCAAACAAGGAACATTCCAAACAAGGAACAAGGATGTCTCTACACCTCTTTAAGAAGGCAATATTCCAGTTTTTTTCTTATAACAAATTAAGAAATTGTTATTATTGTTGTTATTCTCTAATGCAGAATGTGGGATAAGCATAAAAGTTGATCAAGTGAGGTTGGCAGACAGTTCCCGTGGAGACTGGGAAACGGAAGAAGTGAAGCTGGGGAAAAAGCGAGCGGATCGCAATTTTATTGATGTAAGTTCATAAAAGCCAATTAACTGTATGATCAAATTGATATGAAATTGATTTATCTGACATATATTTGATGTCCACATGTGAATTGGAACATGAACCTAAATACATTTTTCTGAGTGAAGAGCTGCTAGATCAATTAGGTGGTGAACATAACCTAAAACCTTTTAGTTAAAAAAACATGTTTGAAAGGAATAAGAACCAGCTCATATAATGGAAAGCCTTTAGTTTTTTCTAAACAATAGGTTTAATAAGTCACCAAGTGGCTGGCAGCAATTTAAGTAAAATCAAGCTTGTAAGCCACCTAGCCAACTTGAATCTAGCTCCCTTGCTGTAATATAAATTTAGCCTGATGAGTGTAAGTAGTGTTCTCTTACTTAGTTACTAAGAGGCAGTGAAAACAGTTTCCAGAGAAACCATACAGCACAAATCACATCCTAATCAAAGCAATGCAATGGAGACTGTAGTTTCTTCCCTTCCTTCCTGTGTCTTTTGTGCTCACCTCAGGTGTCTCTAAGGATCAGATATTCCAACCCATTCATCACATTACTTCTGCCAACTATCTTGATCATGGTGGCTGATATAGTCAGCAATGCTATGCCACTGCAAGGTGGTGAGCGCAACTCCTTCAAGGTTACGTTGGTGCTCAGCTTCACCATGTTCCTGAGCATTCTCACCAACGTGCTTCCTGGAGACAGCAAGTGCAGCCCAGTCATCCGTGAGTCACGGGGCACACAACAACAAACCAACTTGTTCTGTGCAAACCGATAAGACAAAGAACAAAAAAAAAAAAAAAGGAAAATATAAATCAGCAGCAAAAATAACTACAACCATCTTTATGTTGCACAGGAATCCATTTCTGTATTTGCCAAGTCCTGATGGTGATAAGCATGTTGGTATCCATATTGTTGACAAGGGTGTCTCAAAACGGGTTGGCTTTTTTCACCTGCTTCGGTAAAAGGCCTGCTCCTCAAAATGCAGAAGACAACAAAGAAAACGTGGATGCAGGTGAGAGAGGCTTTGTTGTGGAAGAAATGTTCTGATAGGGAATAGTTTTTTTTTTAGGGAGTGACTGACGCTGTGTAATTTTGATCACTGCAGAGACCAAAGGTGTCATCAGCATCGTTCAGCAAGGTCTTTCTGAGGACTCTAAAATGCTGCAGAAGATGGTCAGAATCATGGAGGCTGTTGTCACCAAAGAGAAAGAAAGGGAACGTCATCAGAAACTTGCAGATAAACTGGACAAAATCTTTTTCTGGTTGTATCTTATCTGTAGCTCTGGATATGTTTTTGCCATGACTTATGTTATGGTACAGTACAAATGTGACATTGATCATTTTATTTTTTGGAACAATGCAACATAGACGATAATAACAAACTGTTTTTAACCTCTTACTTATTGTGATATAGCATTATAACCATATAATAGAAGTTCAAACAAATTCATAACTTGTCCAAAACAAAAATAAATTCACTAACTGGATTTACCAAAGAAAATAGTAAAGAAACTACCACAATAATTACTGCAAGGATGATCATGTTTTACATATTCAAATGTTATTTATCTTTAACAGAAGGGCATGTTCATTTGTTTCAGAAGGGTCAACTTTGATCTCTAACCTTTATTTTCCAGAATCAAAAACTACAACTAAAAGCTTGCTTGTCTGGTTAGAAGAAAATCATGACATGGATATTGTGAACACAGTGGGCATTTGCCTTTACACAGAAACATCAGGGGTCAAAGATGAAAAAAAAATTTTTTTTTAATCAAAAATGAATGACAAACTGGCTTTTCGCTGGTGTTTGCCAAAACGTCAAATTAGTTTTTTGCCAGTAATTACCTTAATTATTTTTGAATCCAGCTTAGGATTAGTTAAGAGATCACTGCAGTTCATGACTTGTACAAAATAAAAACTTGAAAAGGTTCATTTACTATCTCGCATATTTTTGATGCAACACAGCTAAAAACTTCTTGGATCAGTGTGAAGGCTTTGTGGATACATGGTAATTAACAGGTGATTTGTGTTAGAAACTCTGGCGCATTGTGGTGCAGTTGTAAGTGCCATCCTATGGCAGGAAAATGGTTGTGGGAAGCAATTCTGACTTGCATTGTGTCTGCATGAAGTTTGAATGGCCTCATTCAAACATTACTCAAGGAGTGAATGTTTTCATGCAAACTGTTTATTATGTGATGCTCTTTGATGAACCGGTGAACTTGTGAAGGATGTACTATGCCTCTTGCTGACAATCACTGCTGATAGGCCCGAGGGCCCATGTGATCCATCATCTATCTTCTATGTGTGTGTATATAGTTGAGGAATAGATGCATCAATAATTGAGATGTAACTATATACTTCTTGCGATATTTCTTTATTTTATCTGTTAAATAAAACAAATATATTCCCTATATTTTGATCTATGAGATTTGTTCACATATTGTGAAAATTCACATTTTATTATTCGCAGTAGATTAATTTGGCATTTTATTACAAAAATCTTTCAATGGATGTTTTAAGCAAACATAAATTGGACTTTTTTACCATTAAAATTTGTATTCAGAGATATTCAGCATAAAGTACGGTAATATAACCATGCTTGTTGCCACCTTGTGGCCAAACACTTACCTGCAGACAAAGTAGTTTTCTCGCTACTCATGTCCGAAATTAGGTTTTTTCAATTGTATTAACAGTACTTAGTTGAAATATTCTACATCACAACAATATCAATACATATCTGGAGAATATTTCAGAGGAGACAATATAATTTTCATGATTTATTTTTAATGCACACAACACCTCCTGAAACATGCTAGTGAATGGCAATTTCATTTTACACATAAACATACCAAAGTGTAATTTATAACAAACAATAAAAAACTTTTTGACACAAAAATACAGCTTAGTCAAAGTAATAAAAATATCAGAGGTTCATTATATGTGTGAACTTTCCTCAACATGTTATACACCCACAAGCTTGCAAAAATTGTTTAAAAAAAATCCACCTTCTGTTACTATCAGACATTGAATTTCTTAGAATCACCACATGTAAAGAAACAGGAAAATAACCATCTACCTGCTCAAGTGAAAATACACTAACTCCATCGAGTTTTGAGCCCCACCACCTCTTTGTGTCTGAATGCCTCCAATTCAGTTTCAACTTTTTGTTGTTTCCTTCATAGCCTTTTTGAAGAAAAACAAGAAGATGAGCATCACAATGTGTTCTGACAATATATTAAAAGTAAAGGTAATCGTGACACTCCACAAACCTGTTTGAAGACCTGTCCACTGAGGTAGGACTTTGCCATGTTTCTCAGGCTGGACTTTCCACCCAGTTTGCATCTGACATAACCGTACAAGTTAGCCCATTGCAATACCAGCCCCATTATCACCACAACCTGAGGTGCAAAGTCACAAAGACAATCATCACATACATGGCAGTAATTTATACAGGTAGGAATCTGACACATGTAAAGCGTGTTCCAAATTATTATGCAAATTGGATTTAAGTCTCATAAAGATAAAATTTTTTGTTGCGCTATTAAATTTATAGATGGTATTGTGTGTCAGGGGTCTTTGAATCACTATAATTAATTTCAGAGAGCTGGGTTGATTAGTTTGTCTGGTTAGCTCAATTAAAGGAAATCTACCTAAGAAGGATGTTCCACATTATTAAGCAAGCCACAAGTTTTAAGCAATATGGGAAAGAGAAAGGATCGCTCTGCAAATAAAAATCATCAGATAGTGCAGTGCCGTATGACAAGATATGAAAACATTAGACATTTAACAATATTATCATACTGTCAAGAGATTTGTGGCTGATTCAGAACAAAGATTGGTTTGTGCTGATAGAGGCATAATGAAGAAGGTTTCTGTTAGACAAATTAATCGAATTAAGAGAGCAGCTGCTAAAATGCCCTCACAAAGCAGCAAACAGTTTTTTGAAGTTGCTGGTGCCTCTGAAACCTCAAGGTGGAGGATCCTCCAGAGGCTGGCGGTGCATTAACCTACTGTTCTGCCATCCCTAACCAGTGGTCACAAGCAGAAACGGTCGCAGTGAGATTAATTTTCAAACAGACTTGTTCACTGATGACTGATGCGGAACCCTGGACGGTCCAGATGGACGCAGTAGTGGATTGGTGGTGGATGACCACTTCATCTCAACATAGCTGTGATGTCAGTAAGGAGAAGGTGGAGTCAATTATTGGGCCGAAATTATGGACAGAGAGCTGGTCAGCCCCTTCAGAAAATGACCTCAGCAAAGTATATGGACTTTCTGACTGATCACTTTCTTTCATGGTTCAAAAAGAAGAGCCATACCTACAGTAGCAAAATCATCTGCATGCATGACAATGCACCATCTCATGCTGCAATGAATACCACTGTGTCATTGGCTGCTTTGGGCATAAAAGGGGAAAAACTCATGGTGTGGTCACCATCCTCCTCTGACCTCAACCCTAACCCCACCCACTAACCTTTGGAATGTCCTCAAGCAGAAGATCTGAAGAAGAAGATTGAAATAACTTTTGATTTTAGTACTGTGATCACTTGGGAAGTTATTCTGCAAAGAAATTCAAGCAGAAACTATCCACAAACATCAATGGATGCAAGAATTGTGCAGGTGATATCAAAGAAGGGGTCCCATGTTAACATGTAACTCGGTCTGTTGAAATGTTTTTGATTGAAATAACTTTTGATTTTAGTACATGTGACCACTTAATGCTGCACATACAAAGAATGACCGTTTTCAGTTCTTTATAATCCATAAAATGTTTAGAAAATCTGCTGTGCATAATAATTTGGAACAGTGCATTTTCAGTTTTTTTATTTTTGAAAAAAATACTGTTCTCATGGGAAGCTTTGTTCAGTAAAATTTTATTCATACTGTAATAGTTCATAACTTGAAAATTATACTGACCATCATTTGCAATGACCATTTAAGAAAATCTGAGGAAATATCACTTGCATAATAATAATAATTTGGAACACAGAATACAAGGCACTGAACTCACCAGCCATTTGATGTTAAATGAGAAGATGGTGCTGAAGACAAAGACGACCCAAAAAATGGGGCACACAATAAGGCCAAGCCAGAAGACCTGCGACTCTGCAGCGGATATTTTGTTGACACCATCAGACTGTTTAGAGAGAATGGTGACACTTTATTTAGTCCTAATAAATAAAACAATCTGAGTATCACTTGTATTTCATTCAATAATAAGAGTCATGGCACATGACTGACTAGAGGCTTACGAGCAGACATGACTCTAAAATAAAAATGTGGATCCCAAGTTTGAATTTAAAGACAATTTTAACTCATCCACACTGAATCAAAACTATGATGTCTCTCAACAGGATAGCAGTCCCAAACAGACCAAAATGAATTTTTGAATTCATTATACTTGCTAATCAAGTATAATGCTAAATTGGAATTACACTGACATTTATGGATGCTCAAAAGCAAAAAAGAACATTAATTTATATTGTATGTTTGGAAATTAGAAAAAAAATCATGTGGGGCTTCACAGGAAAAACTAATAAAAAACAAAATAAAATGATAAAAAACAGAATGTGATATAAATTTCATACAATTACATACAAATCCTATTTGTATGTAAAGTTCAGCTTATATGTGAAATACAAAATATCCCCTAAATTTAAATGCCAAAGGTTATATGATGAATATAAATTCTGGTTGTCTTATAATTCCACTCTGAAATAAAAGAGAGATTACACAAATCGCTAAAAACATCAATATGACATTCATGCCAATGACGAATAGTGTTTTTAAACTTCTATCTGGGATTTTTATTGTTGTTTTCTACAAGTGCTTACCTTCCTTGATTCAAATATCCAGTGGCTTCTCCCGTCTTCATCCACTTGATTCCACCATCGAAGGCCAACCAGTAACCTGCCAGATACATTCTAAACACATTTGATTCAAAATTATGAATTTAAACGAACAATAAACCATTCAGATAATAACAAACAAGTGTTTCAGGCATGATTACTACATGTAGGTATTTTGTTGTTGTTTGTTTTTTTAGTAATCAGACACGCTCACCTTTACAGTCCAGAAGTCGCATGAAAGCAGGAGGATGATGGTGACCATGCAGACAATAAAACGACTACTGATAGCGTCACACACTAAATAAACCAAGATGGCACTTGTGCGGAAGAAAAGGTGGAAGAACGATGCTACAGGATGTCTGAAAAACACGTTTGAATTTTATTTAAAGACCACATGTTAAAGCTTACCTGTCCGTTATACGCTGTGCGTGGATAAAGGAGATTTGAACACATTCTTACTTAATGTTGGACTGTTTTAGCCTGAAGTTGTCCTCCTCACCAAAAAGAGGTGATTCTGTAGAATCCTTTAAACGTTAAAAACATGAAGACACCCACACGAAATTAGCAAGAATCTTGTTCCTAGCTCCCAACACGTATTTGTGTCTATTTTAAGACTTAATACAGACATGACGCATAATGCTCAATCAAGCAATAACCTCATAAATGTGACAAAATATGTTGTTAAATAAATCACCTGTCGACGCATCTCTGACCCAGAATGAGTTTCCTGATTACGTGGATGTAAACAAACTCGTGTGCTGAGGACCCGAAGAAAAGGTGGCCGTCATTTTTGCCTGATTTAAATATTCTAACATCTACACACCTTGGTTTTATCAACAGGAATCGCTTGCTATGAACATAAGATCGAGTGCTGGTCTTAAACGTCACCAGGTATAATTTCCAGAAACAGTCCATGCAAAAGCTAAAACAAAATAATAATAATGTATTGGAACAGTTGTGCCACCATTGTTAGGATATATTCGATTGAAATCGATTGCCATGATTTCTTTGCTTAGTCTGTTCTTTAGCTATTCTTGTATTAGCTGGTGTTTCTTTCTGTTGTAATTATATGAACTGTGAGCTTAAAGATTTCGGGACCAAGGGAGTCAATCAGGTTTGCTGGGTACTCCAGTGACAGGTTTGTACCACCAGAGGGCTCTGTTAAGCAGATACCTGTACGTTCCTTAGGAAACCATTGTGAATGAGGTATCAGCTACTTCATCAGCTGCTTTATTTTTGGCATGCTTAAATAAAGTATGAAAGGACCTATTGAATAATATTTTGAATAATTAAAACTAAGGTCTTTAAATATGAATGCATTGTGTATTTGCATGAAGACTTAATGAAAATGATAATTCTATACTGCGCCAAAACCATTATCTTTGTCAAAGGGTATTTGACTAGGGCATAAAGTTTACTCCAAATAACAACAGCAATAATAATGATAATAATAGTAATAATAATAATGATAATAATAATAATACAAAATAATGATAATAATAGTCAGGTTTGAATTTTAACACTTTTTTAATTGTTTGCAAACAAAGTTAGCAGAATAAATCACATTTTACAAGATTAGCTTTACAAGAAATTCATATGGATAAAATTTTGAACAAATTTACATTCACATATTGAGGCTAAAAAATAATCAATATTGTTTTTAACAAAAAGCACTAATCAAGTACATCCTGTACAAAACAGTTTAGTAATGCCCAGATTCAGGTTTTTGTCCACTCATTGCAAGATGCTGATTTATGAGTTTAAGTAGACCTCAAATAAACTAGCAACTGAGTGCATTCGGTAAAATATGCCGAAAGGAAGACCCACATTCACTATAGCAGCCCACATGTTGAATTGGTAGAACTGTGTTTCAGTATCGTGATCAAACTGGGGACGAGCACCAAAGGCTGGCATGATCCATAGCTGTGAAAAACGGAAAGAAAAGACTTAGTGTTAAGAGAATTGATCACAGTGAATGTGAGAAAAAGTGGAAAAAAGGTACTTACAATGATGTTACCCAGCAGCAGGAATGCACAGACCTCTCTCAACACTCGCCTCTTCCATAGGAGTTTATGTTTGTGCTCTGCTGTCCCACTGTGGCCATGTGCTTCTACATCAGGTTTGGGCATATTGTCCGGGTCTACTTTTTCAAGTTTGCTTCCATCTTTACTGGATTCCACCACATACTGATTTTCAACCACTGTGTCAGCCTCCACCTCATGAAAGGGCTCCCGGTGCAGGCCCTCAATTATGAAAAAGTTCTGCAGGCCAATCTGGATCACCATCAATATTCCCCATGTCAAATTGAGCCTGTTCAGGTGGCCCTTGGCCCCAGTTGCAACCATGGCTACAATGGAGAAATAGCTAATGATGAATTGCCCCAGCGAGGCTCCCACTAGCAGCCCCACATCCAGACTGCGGGTGGGGTTCTTCTCTGAGATGTGCTCCCTGTGGTCCACCTTGAAGATGGCGTTTCCGATCATGGTGCAGATGGACATCAATGTGACAGTGACTATATTCATAACAAAGTGCATCATCACTGCTGCATCGTGCTTCTCTTCATTTGAGTTTGCTTTCATTTCAATTTCATACGCAATGAATGTTGCGATGCCTGCAACCACGAGGAGGAGCCCCAAAGTAGGACCAATGAATACTTCCTTGAGGCTGAATCTCACGTGGTGGTGGTGGGTGCTTTGTGACACTGCTCGTCCCACATTCTTCCACATGACAAAAGCCATGGCAGAGGCAAAGAGGCAATACTCAATGTTGAAGGGGTACAGGTAGTAATAGGCATCCTTGAAGGTGTCGCAGGAACTGTGGCTGCACTCACAGTTGTCATCCCCATAACCTGCTGTAATATCACAGAGCAAACAATCAGATACAAGAGTGTCACGTTGTTTATTCACTAATGACTGCAAAACCAACTGTCATCTGCTTCGGTTACCTTTGTAGATGTACATCTGTCTTCTTGAGATTTTAGTGACATTGGTCGGAGGATCTGGAGAGATTGTTTGATGAAGAGACTCCTCTGCGACCTCAGTCATCCATAAAACAAGATTTGTGGAGAGGGTAAGCATCAGTCCACATCTAAAATATCAAAAAGACAGAGAAAATTAACAAAGATATTCCAGAGACACATCCCACGTTATTTTAGTTCACACTTTATTGTGCTTAATCAGCAGTTTTCAGATCAAACATAGAAAATTCTGAATTATTTTCTATTTAATAAATGCATCAAAACTAAGACCATTTTTGGTCAATGAAACATCAACACACCATGAGCACTCAAAATGCACTTTTGTTTGCATTTCGTAAAAATTCTATGATGCTTAAATATTTTAATTGGGATTTTCATTTTCTGTTTGACTCAAAACCACAGCCTTTATCAAGGTATCTACAGCACTTTTCTCTTTTATGTGGGACAGTACAGATATCAGGTTTAGTCAAATCTTGAATCAGTAGGTTAGGGTTATCAGCTGGGGACTGTCCAGTTAGTGCATTGCTGCTAATTATAAAAAATAAATCAAAAACGACAAATCTTTCTAAAGAAAGTTTGCAAAATTACTGCTAAACAAAAACAAAGCAGTCAATTGATATTTTGTTTGTTTGTTTGTTTTTAGAAAAGCCAAATAAAATGAGGTTTAACTGTTCTTATATTTAAGCAAAATATTTTTATATCCAAATCTAATAACTCATCCATTCAAGAGCCTGTAAAAGTCAAGCATATTAACTATAAATAATTTTGTGGTTCTGTTTTTTGTTAATGTGGGAAGTAAGATCAATTTCGCAACCTGCAGTTCTTCTGGATGTGGGTCCCATTTAGATTCTACTCAGACTTGAATGAGTTTCTTGTGGTGTAGAACATAAACCAATATCATCCAAATCATGAGACAGTAAGTAAACCCATCAATTCATACTCAGATTTGTCTTGTTTTCTACATACAGTATAAAATAAGTTGAAACCAAGGCCATTATTTATCTTGCACCCCTTTTCTGAGACACTTTCCTGCACTCATCTCCACCCCATATTTAAATAGCAGTTGGAAAGGCAAAAGCACAGGTTTTGTTTCTTTGTTTCTCAGGTGGAATGTCTCATGTGTGCTGGGATAGAAAATTAGTAAATAAAGATCATGCAAATACCCTAAAAACCTACCGTGAAAGGTTCTTTTGGACCTGCACACAGTCCCTTGAATGGATCCACAGAAAGTATGTCTGCAAGTGCAAAATACAAAAATTGTAACACTTTCTAACCATCAGGAATGGAGTACATTAAGAATGCTAATTCTTTTACCTGCACAACGATAAAGACTATTTGTGCCACAGGAAATACGACTTTAACATTGGAGGCAACGCCTGGGTCACAGTGGAGGTAACCCACGTAGCTGGCGATCTTAAAGACATCCATGATGATACTGAGGATTCCAAACAGAAGAAGTCCCGCTGAAAGCCGGGAGAGGAAAATGATTAAACTGTCCAACAAATACTCTTTAAATAATTTGTTTAACAATTAAAAGTTTCACTGTACCTCTGAGCCAAATGGGTCCTGCATGCCTGTCCTTGAAGACAGCATTTTCTGTCCTGAAATTGTAAATGATGTAATAGACCATCCAGATGGAAGTGAGCAGGAACAGGAAGAGAATAAAAATCTGCAGGTCTGAGGTGCTGATATTGATACTACTCGAAGTGCCCCCACTAACGAAGGCACAACCCAGGATCAGGATGTTGAGGCAGATGATCGCAGACAACATCCATCCCCAGTTTTTGCCCCGGTCGCGCGCGCCTTGAGTTGAGGAGATGTCCATCTCTGGCTCACTGACACCCATGGCTGAGTCTGCTGCATTTATGTTGTTGGAGAGGTGTGCCTCCTCCAGCTCCCTGTCCTTGGCCGTCATCTTGCAGGGCTCACATAAATTACCGCTGGTCAAACATTCACACTGGTAGCCCGGGTTGAAGCACATGGCTGTTATTTCAGAGATTCCTTTTTTACAGATGAGCTGTTTACTGCATCCAGAAAACAGAAATGAGACATGTCAGTTTCAACAGTCAGAGCCGATTCTCAACTCCCTAATAGAGACACATCCCCCACAAAAGGAAACTTTTCCATAGATTATAAAATCAGTCTTCATCACAGCGTGATTCCCTTCTGTGGTTTTGCGCTGAAACTTGTCCACACCAATTATGCTTTGTTCTTTATATCATCAATATTTTTCTGTTGAATCTTTTGAAATGACAAAAAACAAAATAACATCAAGGACATAACTCAAGCTTTTAAAAGGTGCAAAATAAGGTGTTCACACCATCAACCACACAGCATCTAAAATTTTCAGCATATGTGTGAGCTTACCTGCTGTGGAGTAATGTCCTGAAATACAAGCTGTTGTGGCTTTTATATTTCTCCAAAACCAAACTTGTTTACATCCAAAGAGTCATAAAATGTCTGCCTGTTTGGAACAATGGCAGGTATCAACAAATATAACATGTTTAGCACAAAACACTGCAGTAAAGTTCATGAGACAATTCCAGGAATCCCCTTTTCTCGTTAATTTCAAAGTTTTTAGATAATACAAACTCCATTCCTAATTGGCAGGCTTTGTTCTTGATATCACGCAAAATATTTGACTATTTCTTATAAAAGTTGGACCAAATAGCTTCAATGCCTTACATTCACAGACGCAAAATTTGTATTTTGCATTATATTTTTGTTTGTTTTAAACTTGGTATATTTTTCTGCTGCTGCAGACCATTTTCTCGTCATCATCAGACAAAATTGCATCTTTAATAAACACAATCAGT